TTAAATCATACAAAAGGTTAGAAGATATTCACGCGAGGATCACCGAAATTGATGCCCACATTAGCAATTGTGGCCACGATTTACTGAATCCCAAATACTTGTGGGACGAGACGAAGAAAGTGGAGCCGTGGATCAGATTGCAGATCAAATGCCTGCTCGCAAACTATTCAAACGAGTTTGATTTGGCGCTCATTAAATGGCTCACGAGTTGTGATTACAATACAGTTTTAAAGTCGGTTAAAAAGTCAAACGCTGTTAATGTGAACAATAGTTATGGCAACAAACGGATCAATTACTTCGAGGGCCAAATCGGCGAACCAGAAGTGGCCAGAATTGTCGAGAGCCGAGAGTTTGATCAAAATGTTGAAATTGGCTTAAGATTTAAGACAGCAAATAAGGCACAAAACTTCAATTGCAACACAATATTCACCGCAAACCGAAAGACGTTGAAACAGATCCCGCAATCAGTTAGGGATCAACTGAAACGAGTGATGATAAACGAGATATCGTCCAAAAACGTGATGAAATACGAAGAGGCCGTTTGTCTGTCGGACATAACACAGTTGTCGTACACGAATCGGTGGAGACTTTACAGACTTTGGGTCCAAATCTATGTGAGGATAAAGAAATGGCAATTCGATGAACTCAACGATCGGTTTGACGTCGAGATCGCGGCCCAGAAGAGGCTGTTTGTCGACACCGATGTACTGTTGATCGGCGGCACTGATATCGTCGGTATGACCACAACGGGTGCCGCCAAAAACAGATCCATTCTGGAGAGGATTGACCCGCAGATAGTGGTGGTGGAAGAGGCGGCCGAAGTGATTGAGAGTCATATCATCACGTCGTTGACCAGAAACACTGAACACCTGATCCTAATCGGTGACCACAAACAACTGCGGCCACAGCCGGCTGTATATCAGTTGGCCGTCAAATACAATTTGGATGTCTCTCTGTTTGAGCGCATGATTAACAACGGAATGCCATTTAATCAGTTAAAACTTCAGCACCGGATGAGACCAGAGATCTCTCGTCTATTGGTTCCCCATATTTACAAACAACTCGACGATCACGAGAGTGTCCGCCACTACGAGAATGTCACAGGTTTTTGATTGATTAATCACTTTTTGCTTAAATTTAATGCTATTTTTTGTCAGGTCTGAAGCGAAACATGTATTTCATCACTCATTCACATCCGGAATCGGGAAACGACGAGCGGATGAGCAAATCCAATGAATATGAGGCCCTATTTGTGGTACGTCTGGCCAAACACCTGCTCTACCAGTGCTACGAGAAGCGGGAGATCACTATTCTTGTGCCCTACTCTTCGCAACTCATACTAATCAATCGACTGTTGCGATCGGATCCCGAGTGCGAGACAATGAGCGCCACCACTATTGACAACTTTCAGGGCGAAGAGAATGAGCTGATTCTGGTGTCGTTCGTGCGAAGCAATGCCAACCAACAAATCGGTTTCCTGAAGACACCCAATCGGGTCAACGTTGCCCTCTCGCGGGCCAAACGCGGTCTCTATTGTGTCGGCGATTTTGACTTCTTCGCCAAAAACAGTAAACTCTGGTCTCAGATCACTAACCATTTGCGNGTGACCAGTACTTCAACAAATTCTTCATTATCATCGGCGGCGGTGTTGTCTGATATGATCCCATGAGTGACAGCTTCAGTGGTAGTGTCGATGGTCTCCACGCCATTCACGTCCATAGAGAGTGAGTGACAAGTATTGTCGGTCAAGAGTTGACGGCAACCGTAATGAGTGTCGACATCGATGAACGCAATTTGTTTGTCCAGTTCTTTAGCGCACACGTAGTGCGAGATCTCATGAGCGCAAGTCTTCACATCATTTGCTGAACAGCAAAATCTTCGGTAACACTCTTCAGAGGCTGTGTTTGTGTCACACTTTGAGCTAATACTTCCGCTTTTGGACACTTCAGTGATATTGATGTGCCATTTGTCGAGGGATTGAATCCAACACACCATAAGATAATGCATTGCCATTTCCGTGGAACAGCTTTCGATCTTATGGGATGTCTCTTCAGCGTTAGCTCCGCTAACATTAGTAACCAAAAGTGTGGTCAATGCTAATAGGATTGCAACTAATCTGACCACTGAAGACATTTTACTTGAGTTTTGTGTATAATTTTAGTAATTTATAAATTATGTTACTTTTATCACTGCTATTCGCTGTGAGAAATAACTCGACTTAAAGTGAATATTAAATATTTAGTTAAATAAGTATCAGATTTTGATGTGTGATATATAGTGTTACAAATAATTGTTGAGTTTAGAGTACAATTAATTGTATCTTATTATCTATTTCTTATACCTATTCATCAAATTATACCTTTACTAATGGGCTTTAATTTCACCAACTTTTTTGTTGCCATAGAATTGTCATTACAAAAATTATTACAAAAATTATTACAAAAATTACTATTGCGTTCATAATTGAAATAAATATCAAATTAACATTTCTTAACAAATAGTTTTCTAATTAATAATCATTAAGAATAATTCAAATTACAATTAAAATTTCTTTATTTTAGAAAAACATCAACAATTATAATTTTTTAATAGTTTTATATTAGTTTTAATTAAATATTCACAGAATACAGTAAAACAATTACGGTATATAACAGTAATACACAAAATTTCAGTACAATATTAGAAATATAAAAAGTAATTTAGATATTAAAACAAATCATTTAAAACAATTACATATTAATAAGTAATAAAATCACAAATATAACGTATTAATGACATTATTATATACCGGTATTTAAATAATATAAAAACAATATCAATTACAAATTCAATTGAAATTTTCAAATTGAGAAATAAGTTTGATCTCATTATCACAAGTGGGCCAAATGATTGATGAATTGATCATGGACACTTTCATCTTAAAATCGCTTTCAATATTTGCGGTAAAGGCGCCGGTCTTTAAGAGCCAATCAAACACTTCATAATATCGAAGACAAACATCGGCGGAAGTCGTGTCCAATTTAGTGGTCAACAATTTAGTGAAATGAACCAAAAAGTTAACCTCTCGTTCAGTGTCTTGTATTTGTTGGGAAGTATTGTCGTAATGAATGGCCAAAAACTCCAAACACTTTCTTATTCGTAAGAAAAAATCGGTGATTATCTTCTCAACTGAATTTATAAACTGAAGCCACTTTTGCATATCGTTTCGTTGTATTGGACCGACAGCTTTCAGCAAAGTCTTCATCATTAAGACTTTGTTATGGATGGCAAACAATTGTCTCTTCGATCGGGCGTTTTCGCAATACATCACTTCCACACGAGTGTCACTCTCTAATTGATCCAACAGTTGTTTAACAATTGTCTCGATATATTCATCGGTGGCCGACACGTCTCTAAGCTCTTTAATACTGGCGAACAGACTCTTCTGTTTCGGCAAATTCTGGTCATTGAAACAGAGATTCTTTTTATTCAATTCAAACAATTCTGTGAATTGTTTTTGAATCAAATGATTGAATGTCTGGCACCGAGTGATCAGTGATTGACATTTCGGGCATCTCTTCAGTGTTTCCTCATTTTGTGTGTGTTTTGCGAACAAATTGTTCATAAGATTCACTTCAATAATGTGTTTGCAATCCTCTAATTGAATGAATTTCGATTCACTTATCTCTGATTCAGTCATACCTTCGATGCCATACAAGAAGTCATTCGCTCGCGATTTGTGGCAAATGAGACACAAATCGGGACATATTTCGCCGCAAAGACCTATGCATTTGTGGCCACATTTCAAGAGCTTCTGACAGGCCATCGGACAGTAGTCCCGATCGCACGGCTCGTAACACTTTTTGTTACATTTCTTGTGCGGACACTTCCAGAGACACGCTTTCGGACACTGAATACAAGCCTGAGAGCAGATCTCAGCGCAGGACTGATGTCGGCAACGATTCCTACAGCTCTGATTACAAGGCGAACAGTTATCACCGCAAATACCCTGACATTTGTGGCCACAAGACAACAATCGATCGCATTCTCGTTTACAAGTCATGTGTAGTCGGCTTTGACTGCAATTACCGCATAGATCTTGACAGAAGTGTCCGCAGACCAACATTTTTCCGCACTTTTTATCGCATTCATCGGGCGATCGATCGGACTGTTGATCATAACACGGACTCAAACAGGTGTGACCGCAACCCAACACTACGGGCACTTGAATCCAACACTTCCACAGACTTACATCTGTCGAGCAATAGGTTTCGGCGAAGTGTTGGCCACAAGTCTTTGCTTTTTTCACCAAAACCTTACACTTGTCTTCAGCGCACTCTTCGCCACACTTGAGAAGGCAGTGGTGACCGCAGGACAGAGTTTTCTCGCATTTCAGATAACAGACGGGACTTTCAGAGCAACCGTACGATAATACGTGTCCGCATTCCTCCACAGTTTTGTCCACTTTAACCATACATTGAGTCTCGCAGTCTTCGCCACACTGTTTGCCACACGGATGGCCACAATCGAGTGTATTGTCGCACAAATAGTAGCAGAAGACAACACCCGAACAGAGCTCTTCAATTTCGTGACCGCATTTGGGAACAGTTTTGGTGACTAAAACGGGACACGGAATGCATGGGTCGGGAAAGTGACAATTCTGGAGACACGTGTGGCCGCAATCCATCACTTTTTCGCACATCTTATCGCAGATTAGGTCTCGACAAAAGTATTTGGTGTGACAGTAGGTCTTCGGACACGGATGGCCGCACTCGAGGCAGTGATTATACGACCGATGATCGCATCCACCAAACGGTGATTTTCGATTAAAATCTTCGACAGATTTGA